ACGAGGTGAGTTGGTGTTGGGTGGCCAGAGGAGGCAGAGCAGGGGCCACAGGGAGAGGGAGTGGGGCCTCTGACCACCTGCCTTGCTTCCGGCAGTCTGCATCGTGGGCCCCAACGGCGTGGGGAAGAGCACGCTGCTCCTGCTGCTGACGGGCAAGCTGACGCCGGTGGGTCCCGCAGCGCCTTGGGGGACGGTGGGAGCTCTGAGCGGGCACAGTTCCCGGAGCTGGGGCTGGGAGCCTGGCGGGCAGAGGGAAATACAGAACTGGAGGGGGCTCCTGTCCCTGCGGGGCTGCAGGGAGCGGTTTAGATCCGCTCAGGGAGGAGAGCAGGAGGATGGGAGCCCATGTGCTTTGATTAAACAGGAAATGCGTTACTTACAGGGTGGTTTGAATGGCCTGAGCCAAAGAGAAATCTAGAGATAATCTATGTGAAGTTTGATAGATAGCTTTCTCCTTTTTACTTTTGCAAATGTGCATACCCTTTTTGTTTTTGTTGTTTTTTTTTTTTAACAAAAATGGACTATCACATGAATTGTTCTGTAGCCAGGTTATTTATTTATATTTTAAAGAAGAGCTGCCCCCTGGTGGTAAGTGCGCTCCCACGGCCAAGCTTCCATGGCCCCTCCCCCCAGCGGGCCAACCTTCCTCGGCCCCTTCCCCCAGGCCCCAGTTGGGAGAGGGGGCGGTGACAGGCCAACCTTCCGTAGTCCCTCTCCCTGGCCGGCTGGCCCCCCAATAGGCCTCCATCGCCCAGGCCAAGGGACCCTCACCCATGCACGAATTTGTGCACCTGGCCTCTAGTTTTTAATATATTTGTATTGATTTCAGAGAGAAGGAAGAGGGAGGAGAGATAGAAACATCAGTGATGACAGAGAATCACTGATTGGCTGCCTCCTGCACACCCCCTACTAGGGATCAAGCCTGCAACCTGGGTATATGCCCTTGACCAAAATCAAACCTGGGACCCTTCAGTCCATAGGCTGACACTCTATCCACTGAGCCAAACCAGCTAGGGCTCATCATTGATGTTTCTCTCTCTCTCTCCCTCTCAACTTCCTCTCTGAAATCAATAAAAATATATTTTTTTAAAAAGAATAGTTTTTTAATTTTTAGAGAGAGGAAGGGAGAGAGAAAAGAGAAACATGGATGTGAGAGCACAACATCTATGGGCTGCCTCCTGCATGTCCCCCACTCACAATCAAGTCAACCCAGCATGTGCTCTGACCGGAATCAAACTGGTGACCTCCTTGTGTATGGGATGGTGCTCCCACAAGCTGAGCCGTACCAGGTGGGCGTGTAGCGGTGTTTCCAGATAATACACATGGAGACTTTTTCTTTACTAATAATTACGCAGCTCCCTCCCCCAGGCTGTACCTAGGCCAAAGGGCAGGCCTCCTCAGCATCCCAGCCCCAGAACCGACTGATCTCAGTCAGAGGGTGGTTCCAGCTCTCACTGAGGACAGTACATAGCAAGCATCCTCTTCGTGCAACTCTGTGAATTTAGTTTTCCTAAATGTATTGCCCTTGGGACTTGAGCAGTGCACTGCCCTATGGACTTGAGATCGGTGGTGGCATCTGTCCTCCTTCCAGGAAAGTGTTGCAAGGGCCCTTTCCCCTTAGATCTTCCCGACCTGTCCTTAATCCCTGTCTGACCTGGGGCCCTGTGAAGGGGCTGTGTGTGCACCACCTGGGAGGGAAGAGGCACTCCTGAGCTGTGGCTGATTCCCCTGGCCAGAGTCTGGTGTGCCTTCCTCACCCTGGGGAGGATGGCCGCGTTCCCGCTCGCACCGGCCTGTTCCCGTCCCAGGATCATATTTGTCTCCCCTTCAGAAAGTCAGGCTGTGGGCCTGTAGCACCTTTTTCCTTCCTGTCTCACCCCTTGTTCTTTGCTTACAGACTCAGGGGGAAATGAGAAAGAACCACCGGCTGGTAAGTCGTCCTGGGGAATTAGGGAATGAGAGTCCGATACAGGAAGCAGGACCTTCTCTGACCCCTTCCCTCTCCTTTGGGGCAGAAAATTGGCTTCTTCAACCAGCAGTATGCAGAGCAGCTGCACATGGAGGAGACGCCCACTGAGTACCTGCAGCAGGCCTTCAACCTGCCCTACCAAGATGCCCGCAAGTGCCTGGGCCGCTTCGGCCTCGAGAGCCATGCCCACACCATCCAGATCTGCAAACTCTCTGGTACTGCCGTGGGGCTGAGGAGGCCTTCTCAGCACCCCAGCCCAGGCTGTAGCTAGACCAGAGGGAAGGAGGCCCGAGGCTAGGGGGCTTCAACATGCACCCGAGTGACCTGCAGGAAGGGGAGGTGGCCGAGGTGTGAGGGTCTCCTTTCTGTCTGCCGTAGGGGGGCAGAAAGCCCGAGTCGTGTTTGCGGAGCTGGCCTGTCGGGAGCCCGATGTGCTGATCTTGGTGAGTGAGCCGGGCTGCAGGGGCGGGCGCATTGCAG